TTTTTTTCACAAATCTTATTACTTTTTCCTACTTCTAAACTACATGTAGAAAATAAAATTACTTTTCAAAAATCCACTTCTCAAATTTTTTTAACAAATGAACAATAATCTTGGGGAATATTAACTTAAAAAAAATCATGTAATTTTTCCTTATAAGATCACATTAAAATTAATTTCCCACTTTTCACATCATAATACATACATATATATACAATCTTTTGGCGCATTCTTTTATCTCACGCTTTGCTGGCAGCCGCAGTGTGAGGGTTCGGTTCCTGAGATATGGAATTAGACTCTTTATAGGCTCAGTGTACAAGCAGCTCTTATTTCCTGACCTGTTAGGACACATCTCACGATTTACTTCCTTCACAAAACTCTAGGAGCGAGGTGGTGGTGGCCCTCAAGGTTGGAGTTCAAACTTTATATATGCACATATAGTAGATCTATTAGTTCAAATTATGACATCGGCATTCGAGCGTGACCGTGCATTGACTCGAATATCGAGGTGCCATAATTTGAAATATTTGAAGTATATGTCATTATTTGAAAGAAAGATACTAACACGCGTGCATATATGATTGACATTGTCACATTCAAAATTTTCTCTTTACTTTGGGGTGGGGTTGAGTTCTTAAAATCTTCTACAGATTACCTTTCCGCGTAAATGAAGTGTGGTGTAGGGGTGGGGTGGTATGGGGTTGGGGGTGTACAGTACGATATCATCCCCTATAATTAACTGAAGTTACTAAACTAACTTCTCGTACTCCTCAGACCTTTCAAAAAGAGAAGTAAAGAGTTCAAACTTTCTGTGCTCTTTTTAAAAGCCATCTAGTCCATTAATCCATTCACAAATCAAGAAAATGAAGGTACAGTTCATTTTTAATCCTATAATAAACCGCAAAAGTTATAGTATTTTCATTTAATTTTCTCTAAGAATTCGATGGAATTCTCCTAAGTTTGGTACTAAATCGTTGTTTGTTTGCAGCAAAAGATTGTGATTAGGTTGTCAATGAATGATGACAAATCTCGCTCCAAGGCCTTGAAGACTGTTGTTGGTGTATCAAGTAATTTTTACTACACCTTCTGTATTTCTCGACATGACATGACACAGCACAACGCAATGGTGGCAATTTAAGGCTTGATTTTAAATGTTCATTTTTATTTTTGGTACCTATGTTAAGGCCTTAGTTTGCGTACTAACAAACGTTATAATTTTTAGAACATCTTGAGTCGGCTGCTTTAATAGGGACGGAAAAGAACCAATTGGAGGTGGTCGGAGAAGGAATTGATGCGGTGGTTCTCACAAGGGCATTAAGGAAAAACGTGGCACACGCGGATTTGGTCAGTGTCACAGAAGACAAGAAATCAGAGGAGAAAAAGGGTGATACAAAGAAGAAAAATGAGGCTCCGGTACCCCCACCAGATGTTTGGTACAGTGTCCCTTGTTATAACGGTCATCACTACCCAATTCATGTAGTTAGGGAACCCAGCTATGATCCTTGCACCATTATGTGATGAACTAATCCAATTTCCTTTGGAAATGGATCAAAATTATTAGTCCTTGGGCTAGAAATTTCAGTTTTCTGAACCTTGTGACAAACAAATTTTATGGCTTGATCCCTCGATATGCTTTTGGTATAATTGCCGTATTTAGTTCTTAAATGTCGTCCCTCTTGCACGAATGGTTCTTAAAGTTTACTTTTGGCATCGAGATCCCTTACCTATCATTTTATGCTCTCCTACTTTTATGTAAACTGGCCTATTTTATAACGGTGGTGTTAGCGGTACATATAGTGTACCTAAGCGTGTACACCCTTCTCATATGGGATGTGGGATCCATCCGAATAAAAAACACTTATTCAGGTGGACCCCACACCCCATGTGAGGGGGGTGTACACTCTTAGATACACCCCATTATGTACCACTAGATTAATTGATTTTATAATATATGATTGGGGAATCCTTAATCCCTATCGACCTTCCTTGGATGAGTTTAAAAACTTAATAAGGATGTGTGGATGTCTTTGCTGAGAAAAATGATCAGAAAATATCGAAATGAACATTTAATGTCAACGTCTTCCACAGCAAAAATTTCCGCATTCTATATATGTGTCATTAAAAATATTCCACAGACAAATCAAATAATATTCATTGTGAAAACTGAAAACTTAGAGAAGACAAGAATTTTTCTGAATAAGAAATTGAACAGACGCAAAATTTTCAGTAAAAATTTAAATAAGATGCACTACTGACCATTAGCATCACAATCAAGGCAATCAACTAATATTAATTAAATCTACCCGAATACAAGTAAATAATAGAAAAATCACCCTGAAGCAGGGGCAGACCCACATGGAGTGATGTGGGGTCAAATGACCCTATAAAATTTTGCCTCTGTTTATTATTATTATTATTTTTTTTTTACAATCTACTTTGATGCACTCGTCGGGATGTCAAATGAAGTTAAAATATTGAATTCTTAATACCATTTTGAAGTGCTCATGACCTAATTTTTCACTCATTAATGACATGCGAAGTGGTCAACTATAGCAAAATTTATGACATGTTAAAATAGGACGTTTGAAACTATTATTTTAAAAATTTCTATAATATACTAACTTTGAAAATTCGTTTGCGATCATGTGCTATCTGAATCCACAAATCGTTTATGCCATGTAAAAGTTTGTTTCGAAAACTGCATCGTTTTCATATCGAATGGTCCAAATAGATATAGAAAATAATTAAATATGTATTAAACGTACGCTTAAAAAATAAACGTCTAACTCGTTTTTTGTTTTAAAAAATTCAATTAATTATTATTTTTGCACTATAGATTTATCAATATAATTTATATCGTTTCATTCAGAAGTCTTACATGAAATATGACGTAAATTTTTTAGGGTCGTTACGGATTAAATGCAATTTGAATTACTTTCGAATTATATTTGCTTTAAATTTGAATTTCATTTACTTCCTGAACTAAACTTGAATTTTATTTCAATTCATTTAATTTCTATATTCAATTTAATTTACTCAATGTTAGCTCAGTATTTGCCAATGAAATGATAAATAAAACTATACAAGTAGCAAAATTTATTTAATAATATTAATAATGATATAATTATACGATGTTTTCAAAGTGTCAAAATACATATAAACTTATTTTCATTGATATTATGTTGTTTATTAAAAAAATTATTTTTAAAATTTTGACCCACAATACTAAAGGTCTGGATCCGCCCTTGCCCAGAAGCATCAAGACCATCGAGCACTTCTTTTAACTAGAATTACTCGTGGATGTAATGATTTTATTTAAATTAAAAATTATGAAGAAATTGAAAAGTAGACAATAAACAGAAGGAAAAAGAATCTTTCATAAAGTTAGTTAAAAGATGATTGCAACGGGAGTCAATGGTGGAGTCGGATTCATAGCACGTTTTTCCATATACAACTCTTCCATCTCATTTCCTTTTGCACTCGGGTAATGCTATTAAGCCCCATTAAAATTGCAATCTTAATTTAAGTGGCGTTACTGTGACAATAATTGATAGGTGAAATTAAGCCCTCATTTGACCTCCATTAATTTTCATTCCATCACATTTCATTTTTCTTTTTCTTATTTTTAACCACACAATCTTCTATAAAATAATATTATACGTAAATCAAAAACTTTTCCTTCTTTTTCAATCATTCATTTAAAAAAAAAAATAATATTCCACCCATTTTCATTTCTACAAAATGGGGGCTAAATAACTCATTTAATATCACTTTTTATTTAACATATTATCTAGTGTCACCTAAACTTGAATTACAATTCCAATGGGACTACAGAGCATTATTCTTTGCACTTAATTAATAGTTATTAGGACGAACCATTAAAACAATCACCGTGTTTATTGTTCGTATTTTATCACGAATTAATAAAAATGAAATTACGATCCAAATTTATGTGTATGTGTGTGTATGTGTACTAGTAGTAAGTACGTGTTTTGCACGTTTTATGTATTGGGTGAATTATATACGCACTGCTTTTTTTAAAGTTGTTGAGATAATTGATATTATTAAAGAAAAATGTATTATTATTAAATATAATGAATATATGATTAAAACCTTTCATGGAAATGTGTATATAATGTGAAAATATGAATAAAATGAAATATAATCTTTTAAGTACAAGAACACTTCTTTGAATACAATATTTTTTTTATCAACGTCTCACGACTTTTCATTCTCTTATTTGTAGTTCACATAAATACAAATATGTAAATCGTATAAAAATATTTATACATATACAAATTATTGGAACACATAATATTACAATTAAAACACGAAAGTAGTATAGATCTAACCCTGAACGAAGAATCGAACTGTATATTAAAAAAAAAAATTATTGAAAAAAAAAATCTTTTAATAGATGCAAACAATAATTCTTACATAACTGAAATAAACTACCATGGAACAGAGTTTTGACATGATATGGACATAAATATAAAATTTAGAGAATGATAAAAATTTTGAGGCATAGTAATTCAAAAATTCAAATATTAAAAGAATTTTTTTTTTTTGACAAATAGTTGAGAAGAAAATAAAATAAACTTAAAGATTATGTAATTTGCTCAATGAAAGTTTGGAATCTTGATTTTTTGATTCCACATAAAATATAGAAAAGCAGAATCACATACAAAATGGAATTTAAAAAAAAAAATCTTGATGACGAATAACCAAAAAATATATTATACGTAATAAGTAAGTGGATTACCATAAGTTTTTATGCTTATACAAAAATAACATGAAATAATAATAAAATACTAAACACTATATTATTATTTTTTTCTGAAACACAATTAATCTACTATTATATTAAAATGGACCTTTATTTATTGTAATATTTTTTTTATGAATATGTATTATGTATATTTGGCTTCAATTTTAAGTAATTAAAATTAAATTGATTAATATAAAGTACTCTAATGTAAAGTAATGAGATTTATATTTTAAAGGAGATAAAATGAAGTAGAGTTATATTAAATTTTTGGACTTATAATATAATTGGTAATTTGTAACGATTATTGTACATTTAAAATTAAAAGCGTGGTAGTCAAAAATAAAATATAAAAGGGCACGATACCAAAGTTTCAATTATTGACATTATCGTTTTAATTCTACATATACAATGTTAACATTTGAAGCATTTCTATTTTATATCATGGGCATAAATTTTAGAATTTGTCACAAATGAATGTAAATAATGTAAACCAATAATGTTCTAAATCATGTTTGTGTTGAGGATTTAGAATTTCGACTGTCATTATTCAATTAATTAGTTACTTACTATTCAATTTTGATGAACAAAAAATATACCATTAACTATTTCTTCAAGGGTAATGAATGTGATTTTATTTCTGTGATTATTCAATTTCTTTAAAAATTGTTAACCTCGATTTTCCTTTGTGGTTATATGATTTTCATTCTCGTTGCAAGTATTTTCAATTTTTTCTTATTTCAATGAAGGAAAATCAAGAGAAGAACACATGTTCAATAATGATTAAATACAAATAAATTAGACATCATTAAAGAAGAGAAACATGTCAAATTGCAATGAGAATACAGAGTAATTTTGATGTAATATTGAAATAAGAAGATTTCTTGGAGAAGTGGGACCGAGCTATCGGAAAATGTAATGTTTCGGAGTTTATGTTGTCAAAAATCACGTTTTTCTACTTTATGGATAATATTTAATACTTATTATTATCTAGAGTTTGGTCATTATTTATAAGTATTTCATTGTCTAGAAGTTTTGTTGTTATTCATATTTTAATTATTGCATTTTAAGCATTATAACCCTACAATTTACAAAATTTATGCAAATTTTAAGTAGGGAATAATTGCCTAAGAGCCCAGATGGATTCAGTCACTAGATGAGAAAAATTAAAAGGAAAAATTCTGTTTTTTGTTAATTAACAAAGATGGAACTTGCAATTAAAAATTCTTGCATATCTGTTTCATGTTGAAAAGTGACAAATAACCAATATTCTTTGATGATACAATGAATTATATAAGGCTCAGTAGGCACATACAATGAATTGTTGGTGAAAGAACTTAAAAAGAGTTTTATAAAGATGGAACTAACAATAAAAAATATTTCAGAATAAAAAATCTTAGCATATCTATTTCATGTTGAAAAGTGACAAGTATTCATTGATGATACAATGAATTGTGTAAAGCTCACAAGGCACGTACGACAAGTTGCATTAGACGTCTTTTTCACTTAACCCTGTTTGACAATCTTTTTTCTCCTCAAAATTATTTTTAAACATATTTTTATAATAAAATATTTTACACATAAATTTAATTTTTTTTAAAAACCTTTTAACCACACATTCTCAAAAACATCATTATTTCAAAACTCACCCCCCCCCCCCCCCCCCCCCCCCCAAAAACAAAAAACTACCCCCCCCCTCCCCCACACCACCAAATAAATAAATAAACAAATAAAATTCATTGTAACGGTTGTCACATAGAGACTTAATTTTGTCGTCATGTCCACACTAGTATGTAAATCTAATTGAAAATTCAAATTTAGGAAGGTCTCCAATCCTTTCAGTTGGCCTCCAAAAATGGCTCTAACAGGTTCCCTAGCCTCGTCCCCTCGAAACCTGTGTAATAGCACCCCATCAAGAAGCAAAGGCGGTCGGACGAGAAAAGAG